CTAGCAATAACCTCAGCTAGAAGGGTGTCTGAGCTCAAGGCCCTAACATCAGAGCCCCTTTACACGGTGTTCTATAAGGACAAGGTTCCGCTCAGGCCATATCCAGCTTTCCTTCCGAAAGTTGTCTTCCTGTTTCGCATCAACCAGGACATCTTCCTTCCCATGTTCTATCCAAAGCCGCACTCAAGCAGCAGGAAACAGAGGCTTCATTCATTGGATGTCCGCAGAGCGCTAGCCTTCTACGTCGAGAGAATGAAACCATTCCGAAAATCCATCCAGTTATTCGTGGCTGTGGTGGACAGAATGAAAGGGCTTCCTGTCTCTTCTCAACGGATCTAGTCATGGATCACGTTATGAATCCGAGAGTGATACAATCTGGCAGGGATGCCTGCCCCTTTGATCACTGCACACTCCACTAGGGTGCAGGCCTCTTCAGCGGCATTCCTGGCTCAGATTCCGACCCAGGAAATATGCAGCACAGCGACATGGTCCTCCGTACACACTTTCATCATGCACTATGCGATCACCCAGCAGGCCAGAGACAACGCAGCCTTTGGTAGAGCGGTACTCCAATCAGTGGACAACTCCGACCCCACATCCTGAACTTGTGGTTCACTTGATTGGAATTGACATGAACAAGCACTCGAAGAAGAAAAAATGGTTACTCACCTTCTCATAATTGTTGTTCTTCGAGATGTGTTGCTAATGTCCATTCCAATACCCTCCCTCCTACCCCTCTGTCAGAATAGCTGGCAAGAAGTAATTGAGGGGTCGTCGGGTTGGCTGGGCCCTATATTGGACACCATGAAGGTGCGACTCCAGGGGGCACCCAGGCCGACCCTACGGATACTGCTAGGGGAAAAATCTTCCAGCTATTGTGCATGCGGCGCACACGCACCTGATTGGAATGGACATGATCAACGCATCTCGAAGAACAACAGTTACCAGAAGGTGAGCAACCATTTTTTCTGTCCTTCACAATATTATGTAGCAAGAGAAGGATATGGACCTATATATTGTTTCCTATAATCTGCTTCTTTACTTTTGAATAAGGTTTGAAAAACATTGCTTTTGAAGTATTAATTATAGCCTGATGGCACATTTAAAGTTCCAGATGGGGTATCAAGACTACCAAATACTCAAGTCAGAAATCGTCCATAAATGCCAGCGTAGAGAGAAAGAGAAATGTATGTACATGTATGTGTGTGTGTTTAACGTGACTAGATGTCTTTAACAAAAGTGTACTAAGTTTTTTCTTGGGAAGATTGATTTAGATTTATGTACTTGACAGTGCCACAGCCTTTTGCTTTAAAAGCAGATCAAGTACATAACAAAGTAAGACACATTGCAAATGTGGTGGCATACAGGAGAGTACAGTTTAATGGCTTTTACCCAAGTAGGTTTTTTCTTCAGTTATGTATATTTGAAAGTCACTCACACAATCTGTGTCACTTCTGGATGAAATAATATTCAATCTAGAATTGCTGAGGGGGGGAAAGACAAGTGTTCAGTAATGAGGCCTTCAGGAATTTTACTTTATATTTTTTTATGCCTATAAAAATACACATTTATGTAAAGTTAAGGTTGTCAAAAAAGCTCACAAAATGAAATAAAACGCTTGGCTGCAAGCAGAAATGTAATGCGTCCTATATCTACTAGGCACAATCAAAGCTCAGAGGGGTAATGTTGAGATGTGCTGCGGTTTGAGTATACTTATATTGAAATGGAATTGTCATATTAAATACAGGGATGTGGTATAATTACTGACTCAACTGTATGGTTATTTCTCAGTTATGCAAACCCACGCAATATGATTGAGAGGGTATGATTTACACAATAACTGGTTATTTCTAAACCCAAACGTATGTAAATTTCTCTGCTTTGGCTTAGGGCCAATTTAAAGAAATCATTTTAAAAATCCCCTCTGCCTCCTTCTCCATCAATATCAGTTACAACAGGACTGGTAAAGAGAAAATCCAATAGTTCCCATAAGCCCATTCAGGTTTTGAATAATTCTGAATGGAAAGAATGATCTTTTGTTGACTGAAACTGGTCTGCAGACAAGAATTACCACATGGGAGAGTCTGTTTTTGAAGATGAGGATGAAGAAGAGAGCTTTGAAAATACATAAAATAGAGATGGCCAGTGGCAAGCAAATTATTTATGGTTGCAATACCAGTTTCCAAGGATAAGTGCCTGATTTCATATGCTCATAACATTTCTGAAAAAAATCATTTTCTAAAATGAAATTTTCTATGTTTGGTCTGTGTCTCAGATTTTAGAAAGTTTGAGCAAAATTCCCTCAACCTTTTTTCATGACCATAGAGGAACCATAAAAATTTATCCACAGTGTGTGTATGGGGAATCTAACTATATTCTCTTGAATAGAATTATAGCCAAAACAGCTGAAACTTGCTCTGAACAGATCTCTCACTGGGGATTAGTGCTCTTGCTAGGTTTGGAGGATTAAAAATTAAAAATAAAGTTATAAAAGATTGAAAAGCCACTTTTGAGCATACTCAGCAGCATCTACTATGATTTTTAGCAGAACCCTATTAATGTAAAAGTGTCATGTAAAAGTCTCATTTAAACATACACTCAGCAGTCCTTCAAAAATCAGTGTTTTAACATCAGGGATAAGAGAAAATCAGACTTTTTCTATGGTTTTAATAATCGCAAGTTCATTACTGTGCTCTCTTCAAACATTCTGAAAAGCAGAGAGCAGGATGGATTTCTGCCATGTCCCTGTGCTGGTCACCATTGCCTGGGGAAATATATGTTTTAATCCATTGTGACAAGGAATCATTATTCTTTTTTTATTGTAATAGTGCCCAAAATGTGCTAAGCACTTTCTGAACATAGAGGTAGACATAGTGCCTGCCCTGAAGAGTTTACATTGTAATGGCAGATATAATGTAAAACAAAAAAACAAAACAAAACCAAAACACCAGTCAGGGAAATAGGAGGGTGGGGAGATGGGGATTTCAAAAATAAGGTCTCTCAGTTATTTAGATATTATACACAAGTCTTCTTACAAAATACATTTCTCCATCTTCTCTTCCACCCTCAACAAACAATTAACACCAATTTCCAGTGCAAATTAGTAATTAATAGTATATATAGCAAGGAAACATTACTTAATTTAGACAATCACCTCTGGTAGTAATGGGTCTGATCCAAAGTTCTTTGAAATCAATGGAAGTCTTTCCAGTTATTTCAATGAATTTTGTATAAGGCCCAATATGAATAATCCTACTGTGTTATGCCAGGTACATTAATTAAGTTACATTGAGAGGATGCTGTGCTGTTGTGATGCATTGGGGTTTCTTTCAGACCAGAAGGGGTTGTCACCACCTGGCCTGGAACCTTGTGTGGCTCTGTGCTGTGCAGCTTTGGCTCAGAGCCCTGACAGCAGAAGCCTGCTCACAGCACAGTGACTTCACCCTGGTTTCCACCAGCCTGGTTACTCCTTGCAGGGTGACACCAACAGCCCTTCCAGACCTGAGTCTCTCCAAAACAGTCTCCTCTGCCGTGCTCGATCCCTCTCACTGTAGCACTCACAGAAACTTGTCAAGTTTGCTGCTCCTTGAAAGAGACAGTGCACAGTGACAGCCTGTTCGTTTGGCTGAGGATTTTACTCCTCAGTTTGAAATACTGCACTGAAGTGCTTGTGTAATAAAACAAGAATAAGTTTACTAAAAAAGAACAGATATTTAAGTGATACCAGGTAGAGGAATTGGGATAGAAATGGTTACAAACAAATAAAAGTAACAATGCGCTTCCAAGACTGAAACCTAACTTTACAAACTAGAGTCTTTTGTTCAAAGTAGTTTTCTCACCACAGTAATTCTTCCAGCATGGCTGGTCAGTCCTTAGCCAGGATCCAACACAGAGCCAAAGTGCTTGGGTTCTTTGTCTCCTCAGGTGAAGGATGGTTATGCTAATTATGATGTTTCTCTGCTTTTATCCTCAAAGTTTATCTTTGTTTTCAAAGTCAGGAAGCCCTCCTTGGGGGCTCAGCTAGCTACCTACACTAGAGAGCTGATGCCATGTTAATTTTTACAGTCTCCTCCCCCCACTCCCATCATGATAGTTAAGAGGCTATCTCCCCACTTGCTAGTTGATGGCTTTTTTTACCTTTTATGTAAATATACTTCCATTGTCTCTCTTTGTTCAATTCACATTGGAGACACATTCAAGCAGGCAGAACCACATCCCTTTGTCTAGGGCAGGGCGCCTGAAGCCCTGGAACATATTTCCAGCACATATCTGTAATTCTTTATATGTTAACGGTACATGAATCACACAAGAATGTTAATGATCAGTGAGTTATTAGCTTTCCAATGATATATTAAAAGTCACCTTTTAAATAACTATCCTGAGATCAGTTGAGTTGGGGTTCACTGAGCTAGTCAGGTCAGCTGAGACTTGCTGCTAGATACCAGGGAGTGCCTTGCCCTCTGGCCCTGGCTGCTCTTAGGGTCACAACTGCCCTTCCGAGCTTTTTTTTTTTTGGTTGCTTGAGATAATGCCAAAAAAATCTGAGTTTGGCATTTAAAGTGGTATTTGGAGAAAGCAATGTAGTTCTGAAAAGACAGACTGATATCCCATTTACACCTGAACAAATCTGAATATGCCTCCCATTGTGATCCTTCCTGTTAGAATCTTTCCCTTACCTTCCCACTTATTCTTTGGATTTCCCTTTGTTTTTCTTTATATTCGTGTAGACACTGTGCAGGAGATCTGGGGCTGAATTACACTGACGTCAAAATGGGAATGTTGACATCTATGTTCTTGGAAATCACTGATGTCTGTGCCAAATTAAGATAATTGGCAGTAATTGATTAGTCACACAGGAGGGTATTAGTAAGGGTTAAGCTCCTGTCACAAACTGTCCTTTCTGTATCCACTGCCTGTGGAGCATCTCAGCTACATAGTATCTCATGGGATAGGAAATTGACTTCCTCCTTTTTCTTTTCTACCACCTTTAAACTCCACAGGTCAGTCCAACCCCAGGGTGCATCCGTGCACTAATGAAGATGTTATACTGCCCTTACTGCAGAGGACTTCCCACTGTGAAACCTTGCAACAACTACTGCCTCAACGTAATGAAGGGCTGCCTAGCAAATCAGGCCGATTTGGACACTGAGTGGAATCTGTTCATAGGTAAGAGGGGTTTAAATAATTGATGAAACAAGGAGATGATAGGAAATATCTGTGGCGCTTCGTGAAGAGTCCAGAAAAATACTACCATCAGCATTTACCAGCGTGGGAAATAGAGCTTTAAGTCAAGCAGTAATTGAATCTCCTCTCACTTTTTAATCAAAGTTTCTGGTTTGTAGTAAGAAATTACTGTTCCGCCCCAGAGCTGTTCTTATTAAGTATATAAAGGTGTTGTGTGATGCTAAGGTTTCTGAACTGAATTATTAGAGGATATGCAAAGCATGTTGAAAAAGTTTTGGTTGAGGATGTGATAAGATGAACATGAAAGTGAGAGAAATAGTGTGTATTAACTATGTGCTTGCGGGCTGAGCACCTGTTAGCAAGGTGTATCCACCTTGACAGGATGGATACACCTACAACTCTGGCATTTCTTAATTCCAATACCATAAGGGGAAAGAGCTTTTAAAAGTTACAGTTGCAGCAAATAAACTATTAGTTCAATGCTTTGCATTAAAATCATAGAAGATTAGGGTTGGAAGAAACCTCAGGAAGTCCCAGGGGGAGGGATAGCTCAGTGGTTTGAGCATTGACCTGCTAAACCCAGGGTTGTGAATTCAATCCTTGAGGGGGCCATTTAGGGAACTGGGGTAAAAATCTGTCTGGGATCAGTCCTGCTTTGAGCAGGGGGTTAGACTAGATGACCTCCTGAGGTCCCTTCCAACCCTCATATTCTGTGATTTTATGATCTAGTCCAACCCCCAGCCCAAAGCAAGTCCAACCCCACCTAAATCATCCCAGTTAGGGCTTTGTCAAGCCGGGCCTTAAAAACCTCTAAGGATGGAGATTCCACCACCTTCTTAGGTAACCCATTCCAGTGCTTCGACACCCTCCTAGTGATATAGTTTTCCTAATATCCAATGTAGATCTCCCCCATTGCAACTTGGTATGTGTTGATGTCTGCCTTTCCAATATGTAGAATGAAAAAATATCAAGTTCACAATCAGAATCTTAGAAGGAACAGGGTGGAAAACCATCATTTAAGGAAATGTGTGATTCCAATTTAATTCGCATAAACCTTTAGGGGAGTGTGTTTACAAAAAAACAAGTCTCCCTAACAACCAGCCAGAATTAAGGTACAAATAAAGGGCCCCAGCTTTCAAAAGGGTAACACTGAACCAAAAAAATGGTTTAGAAGAAAAGTGCATTTGATATTGTTTAGTGCAAGTACATTATTATGAGTTAGACAAAGCAAATAATAGTGTGGCAAGGCAAAAAAATAGGTAGATATTTCAACCTCTAATAAGCTTTTATCATTCTTCAGATGTCTAAACTAGATTGCTAGAAAACAGTGGTCCTAAAGCAAAAGACAAAACTTCTGAGTGTGACAAAAGAAAAGAAATTCTGCCTCGTGAATTTAGAGAGACAATACCCTGAGCAAACACATTTTTCCTCATTTTAAACTGAACTGGATGGTGTGAGATGGAAAGTTAGGCTCTGACTTGCAAACTGTTGAATGTGCATTCCACTTAGGAGTAGGGTGACCAGAGGGCAAGTTTGAAAAATTGGGACGGGGCTGGGGGTAATAGGTGCCTATATAAGAAAAAGCCCCCAAAATCAGTACTGTCCCTATAAAATTGGGACATCTGATCACCCTACTTAGGTGAGATGGCATAAAAAGTCGGGGAGGGGTGAAAATGGAGTAGAGAGTAGGCAGAATGAAAAAACAATACTGAAAGGATGATGATGACAATAATAAAGACTAGAGGGAGAATCTAATGAATAAATAATAGATGGGATCCACTTCTGCCAGTCTGATTTTTTTACATAGGACAAGATCATGACTCAGAATATGCAACCACGCTAGGAAGGGAGGTTTCTAAGATATGTCCCTTTACTCCCTTGGACTGCCCAATTGCATCATGGGAAACAGCATGGTAGAAAATGTAGCCTCTATAGGATCACTACTACCCCACTTGTGCAGATGACTGGGGAATAGGCAGGCCGGGATGAAGAGTGGGAGAAGTCAACTTACCAGCCAGACAAGTTAAAATAGAGTGGAAGGGGAAGTAATATGCACTTGGTAAAGATCTAGCACAGATTTGTACCCTTTGGAGCAAGAGAGGAATCACGGACCAAATTATGACTGCTGCTGGTCCCGTCCCTGGAGCAGTGCAAGTATGTACCACCTGTTACTCAGGACTTGTGGTAACCCGAAAATTTTGTTCAGGCAGAGAGATTTAGAGTTATTTCCTTAATACGTAATTGAAACGTCACTTAAAATGGAAAATGTCCTTAATTTTAAATTTAATTACTTGACTAAAAAACCCAGCAATCGCCACAATCACAAATGGAGTTAAATTGTGGAGAAGGTGGGGGGCAGGAATCTGATAATTCAGCAAGCTCCCAAAACCAGATTGGCAACATTTCAAAATCTTGAATTCCACAAGGTTCACCAACCCCTTAAAAAAAAAGGCCTGGCAGGAGCTAAAGACACTGGTGGGAAGAAAGGTTTAGAAATAGCTAAATGGTTTCCAGGGGTGAACATTACCTGGAAGAGGCTGGATGAAGAGCCAAAGACAAAGCCTAAGAGCCACATCTTCTCCAACAAAGTGATGTGAATTGGTTGGAAATGCACTCCTCTTTATTGCCCAAATGAAAAATATTTAGTGTTTTTATCCTTTTAAACTAATACCGCTTTTAGATTGAAAATGAAGTTGTAATTAATGTAGACACTCATGAAAGCGAAGAGCTGAAAGTAAAGCTTTTTAGGACTTGATACTGGATTCTCTCTCTCTCTCTCTCTCTCTCTCTCTCTCTCATGCATTCATCTCAGTGAGGTAGGTGGGTAGGTGAGGGGAGAGAGCGATATTTGGAAAACGTATTCTGTTTTATCCCACTTTGCAAGATCCTTGAGAGCTTTGCTGAAGATGAAACTTCTTAACCCTTTCTTTTTGTGGGATTGTAATGCAGTGAGTTGCCTCTGCCAGACGGCTGTCGGGTGCTTTCTAATAGCACATGCAGTTCCCTTAGTGCTAAACACAACAAAACTTCTACTCACTGAATTAAAATGAACAGCAGCATTTTACAGCACCCGCTGAACTATGAAAGATTGAAAAGAATGCATGAGCAGTTTTTATGCCAGTTGTTAATGTTAGGAACCATGCACTAGGAAAAAAATAATTTTGTGCATTAACAGTCTCTGCTTAGGCAGATGTCCCAAATGTTAGTGCAAATTCATACACAAAAAGCCAGCTTTGCTCTTCTACTAGTTTTCATGTTGCAAGATCTTGCAAATGTTGATGGTTGGAGAAAACTCTCCAATGCATTTGTGACCAACGGGGCACCTTTTGTGGACAGGGCAGTAATTGCTAGTAATATCCCACAGCTATTTTGCTTGCCAAAATTCTGACACCAAAATTCTACAAATGAAGAAAGGAATTGGGCTCTTTGACAGGAGGATGTCACATGTTCCATCTAGCTTATAAATACAAAAGTTAAGGCAGAAATCACATTTATATAGCTGCAATAAATCCTACATCTACTTTAAAAGATTGGAAGATTCGGATAGCATCCCCGAAACATGATGCGTTCCGGAATTTTATAGACTGTGAAAATTAGTAAAAAGGGATGCAGCTGCAGCATTTTATTAATTTTTTTCTGCTTGTGTCACCTTAAGCTGTGTCCTTTTTATGCAACATTTTATTGCGTTATTTTTTTAAAGAATTACAAAATAAGAGCCAAATCTTGCCTTTTTTACTCCAACAGAAATCCTATGAAACTCAATGGGAAATTTTTCCTGAGAAAGGATTTAGTAAGGGACAAGAAGTTGTAGCTATGACTAACTGATGAAATAAATTCTATTTTCTGTTTGTCTAAATGACAGGGAAATGATATAGGGCCTCAGAGGTCACTTTAAAGTGTATCAGTCACATTAGCTTTTCAAATACTTGCTTTAAGGAAGTTTGATTTCCATGATGTGCCAGTTAGCAAGATTGCCCAAACTCTCATGCATTAAATCTGACAGGTGAAATACCAAAAGACAAAGTAATAAAACTGCACCAGGGTCTGTCCAATTGTCATCCAGAATAACACATTAGCTAGATTACGTAGATTAGATCAGGGGTGTCAAACAGTCTCTGTCAGAAGGGCAGATTGTATTTTTAATTATGTCGAATGGACTAGGGAATACACTCATGACTACATCCTTCCCTCCGTGCACAGAGAACTTCCTGCTATTGTCAATGAAGTTTGCTTAGAGATCAAGGTGTGTTGCTGTCCTGGAAGCACAGACTAGAACAGCGATGGACAAAGTTTTTGGCCCGAGGGCCACATCGGGGTTGCAAAATTGTATGGAGGGATGGGTAGGGAAGGCTGTGCCTCCCCAAACAGCATGGTCCCCGCCCCCTCCCACTTCCCGTCCCCTGACTGCCCGCCTCAAAACCCCTGACCCATCCAACCCCTCCCCCACTGCTCCTTGTCCCCTGACCACCCTTCCCGGGACTCCCCAACCCTAACTGCTCCCCTGGGACCCCACCCCTTAACCAACCCCCCCTGCTCCCTGTTCCCTGACTGCCCCAACCCCTATCCACACCCCTGCCTCCTGACAGGCTTTCCAGGACTCCCACACTTATCCAACCCTCCCCCACCCCGTCTCCTGTCCCCTGACTGCCCCCCCAGAACCTCTGCCTCATCCAACCCCTTCGCTCCCTGTCCCCTGACTGCCCCCCCCAGGATCCCCTGCCCTTTATCCAATGCCCCAGCCCCCTTACCATGCCGCTCAGAGCAGCAGGACTGGCAGCCGTGCCGCTCGACCGGAGCCAGACCCGCTGCCCTGCAGGAGCGCACAGCCCCGCCGCCCACAGTGCTGCCTGCGCGGCAGCGTGGCCACAGGGGAGGGGGGACAGCAGGGGAGAGGCCGGGGGGCTAGCCTCCCCGGCCGGGAGCTTAAGAGCCGGGCCGGGTAGGACGGTCCTGCGAGCCGCAGTTTACCCACCTCTGGACTA